GAGAAAGAGGAGAAAATACAAGACCAGGATCAAGAGGGCCCCAGGGAAGGAGGAGCTGTGAGAGCCCCCAGGAGGTGGGGATCTCAAGAACACACGAGGCACTAGCAAGCACCCTTGATCCAAGGAGCCCCGGGTTTGCCCTGGGCCAGGATTCCACCGCCCCTGCTCACCTCTCTGTTTCCAGCAGTGTTGAGGGAGAGCTGGCCAGACCCCTCCAGGAAGTCACACAGCCGGGCAGGAAGGAAATCCTCTCCCCTCCCCATTTGCTCCTAGCAAAGGGAAGCATGTCAAGGTAGACTGCCCCCATAGATGGAGGTTTTATAGGGCCGCCAGGATTCCCAGCTGTCCATCCATCTGAAATTGGTCCCAACCCACTAGAAAGCAGTGAATCCTCTCTTTAGGTGAGCGACTTCTCTCTCTCTCTTTCTCTCTCTTTTGTGTTGTGTATATCACAGTTGACAGGCAAGAGATATGAGTTGTTGAACAGGAAGCACACCCTCCTACACACAACCCAGCAGCTTGTGTGTCTGTTTCACCTTTTTGCAGTAGGCAAGATACAGATCACAACACGCACCCACACCCACGAATGTGTATGTGACACATCTATACCAACGTAAAGCCATCTTCGGTAACAGCTGCAGCACCACCATTTCTAATTCGCCTTCTGGCAAATGTATTTAAATTATTTATAATTGAAAAGTAAAAGCACAAAATGGGGCTTTCAGTGACCCTAAGAACAAACTTACTTTAGCTGCACTTCCGAAAAATCTCATCTTTTCAAACTCTTAATGCCATCAATGGATTCCCAGTTGTTTGGAAAAATATCCTCCCCCCCCACACACCCCCTGGGGTGAAGCTGAGTTTGTGTAAGAGCTCCTCGGTGGAAGAGCCCCCTTTTTTTGAGGGCCGAGAAGCTCTTCTGAAGACCTCCGGTGAAAAGTAACTTTGAACAGAGAAAAAGAGGACTCAGCCTTTCTTCGCTGCCTGCCTCTTGATCCTGCCGGCCAAATGGGGACCCTCCTGAACCATGAAGGCGAACTACGCCACGTCCTTCCAGGCAGTTCAATTTTACCTTAAGTGCCATTGCTCTGTTCTGAGGAACGCTGGGCTTCGTAGTTGTATCCATGGGGATTTGGGGTTCTGTACTTCAGGGCCCTCTCTGGAACTTCAGGGAAGGAACCGTGAAACTGACCCAAGCTACGAACAGCAGGAAGACTCCGGCTGAAGCCCCAGCCCTTTATGTACAGTACTTTTCGGATTGCTGCAATGTTTATTGCTATATTTATTTAAAATATTTTCACCCCGCCTTTGGATGAAGCCCCAGCCCTTTATGTACTTTTCGGATTGCTTCAATGTTGCAATGTTTATTGCTATAATTATTTAAAATATTTTCACCCCGCCTTTCTCCTAAGAAAGGACTGAAAGTGGCTTACATAGTTAAGGCACATTATTAAGGCTAGAAACAGGGAATTGTTCAAATATTAAACAAATTAATGACATTATAATAAGAAGGCAAAGCATTACTAAATCAGATTTAGAAGCAACCATCTCATTTTAAAACCACTCCGAGATGGTTCAACAGAGGTGGATTTTTCTGCCACTTTTCCCCCACCCCATGCACAATTTTTTTGAGACTCCCCACCCTATAAGTATCATCTTTTCCCTTTGGATGAGAAATAAGACCACCCTGGTCTTTTCCTTTCTGGGAAGCGTTTGCTTCCATCAACTGAGTTCCTTTGAGTTGCTTTGCTCTGTGATGATGATTGATTTCCAAGTAGATTAATTTCCAAGCAGAACTCATAAGTGACCTGAAAAGCACCCGGTGTTTTCTGACCCAAAAAGGGGGCAGCAAATATAAGTGGGGTAGAGCTTTGCCTTGTAGCCGAGCCTGTCCTGAAGGGTTGGGGCTTTTACTCCAGCGTTGCTGTTCTCCGTAATCCTGGCTCGAGGTGTGGAAGGTGGGTTTTTCCCCCCTCTGCTTTCTTTTTTTTCTGTTTAGAATCTCAGTGGGCTTTGTCTTCTAAAGAGGAAGAAATGGGTGCATTTGGGCTAAATGCTTCAAAACCGGCATCAAGATAACTTCCAGACTTGCAAGAGGCAAAATGTTACTGCCTTGGAGAATGCAAAGGCTTGCGTTTCCATTCTGAATAGGGAAAAAACTTGGACATTTTGATCAGTTTTCTTCAACGAAACGGCCTCCCTGTTTTCTGGGGAGGCTGCATTTGACATTTTTGTCTCCTTGGGGAGTTCGCAGTGAAAGCTACACCTGCTCTCCTCCTCCACCCTCACAGCAATCCTGAGAGGGAGGGGAGGATGGGGGGGGGGAACAGGCCATGTTTGCCCTGGAAAGTCCTTGGCCAAGTGGAGGATTTGGGACTCAGTTCTTCTAGGTCTGAATCCGACCCTCTATCCCTCACTCACCCACCCCCACCCCACCGGCTCTTGGGGCCTCTTCACTCCCGGCGCTCTTTCTCTCTTTGCAGGCGATTGCATTCCTGACCCTTGTCGGAATGGCGGCACATGCACCGAAGAAGGGGGGCACATCCAGTGCCTCTGCCTGCCGGGATATGGGGGGGACCTGTGTGAGATCGGTGAGTGGAAACAGCCGGCAGTAGGTCAAGTGGGGGGGGGCAGACTGGAATGTGAAGGTCGGGTGAAACACGTGGGCAGCGACCACTCTGTGGTGGTGGCATTCGAGGCGTGGGCAGGAGTCTCAGGGGTCTCCCATTCTCCCCCAAGGAAGACGGTACAGTGGCCTCTGCAGCCTCCTTAACAGAGGCAGGGCGTCCAACCTGCACGTTTTAATGAAGTTTCAGCTAGGCTTTTTTGAAAACCAGAGTCCAGAGCTCTGGAAAGCTCCTTGTTCTGGAAGGAAGCTTTGGATGGTGGCCTCCCAGCTTGGCTGAGCTTGCTTGGAAGCTGAAGTGATGATGGAGGCAAGACGTGGATTTGTGAGGCTTTTACCTGGTGTGTATTCCCTGGATCTCTTTGACCTTGTTAACCTGGTGGACGTGGAATGCTTGGAGACCGCTATGAAGAACATCAGCCACCGTTTCCCCTCCCAACCGTTCTGTAGTGGATGAGGGCAAATGCACTGAGGTTGAATCCGGACAAGACGGAAATCTTGTGGGCGAATGCCCTTCACCTTCTTGATGAAGGGCATTCGTAGAATAGGGGATACATGCAGCTTGTTAAATAGACATAAAACTCCCCATCTAATGCGGTTTGTTTCGTCTTTTTCCTGGGCATTTCATAAGTCATGGTGAAGAGCAGATTTCTATGCAGGTGTATTAAAAAGACCACCCGGGATGGGACGGTTTCCAAGGGTTCTGCTACAAGCATTTCTCCACCCGCCGGAGCTGGGAGGAGGCCGAGACCCAATGCAGGGACCAGGGGGGCCACCTGGCCAGCATCATGACCCCCGAAGAGCAGAGTTTCCTCAACGGTAGGCCCATTGCTGGTGTTTACAGGGCCCAGGTTCCCTGCCGTGGGACGTGGCAGTAATCCAACAGGTTGAGTCACATGGACCAAAAGCTAGATAAATACTCCACCACAGTTTTAATTGGCTGCGAATGGTGGGGCAGCTTCAGCCTTGGGTGGATGGAGTTCTGCCCGAGGTCCAGTTGTTGTGTTTTTGAGGAAGGCGCCCTTCTCCACTGGAAAGCCTGTCTAGTCTCCGTGAGGACAACAAGACCCATCAGAAGGAGCGGGATGAGGGACCATCATCCCCCCCGGGGGGGGGGAAAGCATTTGGAGAGCTGACTCAGCCGTGCCAGGCCGCAGTCTTGTTCACTTATGTGAGATGTGTCAAAATCTCCACTTTAAAATCATTTCAAATGTTGCACCTCTACAGGTACATCTGGGGGGGGGGGCATTTTCCTGCAAATGGGTGGCCTCTTTCCCCTTTCTTTTTTAGTCCCACCTGCCCTCCCCTTCAACTTTTTGGAGACTGCTGATCAGCTATCATATTTGTGGGTTGCTCCCCTTACTGATCAAAGCCAGGAAAGACGAGAGGGAGGCCCATTCAAAGCTTAGGAGTTCCCCTTCCGCCCCTCCCACCCACCTCTCTGGCTTGCGGGCAACATTTCCTTTCTTGCAAAAGGCAGAGAAACCAACATCCGAGCAGCTGCAGGAGGGCAAAGGGTAAGGGGGGGGAAGTCAGGCCCTTTTTTCCCGCCCCACCAGCCTGGAGTGGGCAGAGCGTGGCGGAAAGTGGCACCGAGCGAGCGGAAATTGTGTTGACATTCCCACCACTCTTCCAACACGTTTTACTGCTGCCGCTGCTTCCCTCTCTCTGCCTCTCTGCTCTTTCATTCCTCTTGATCCTGCCACAAACCTTCCAGACCACTACAAGGAGTACCAGTGGATCGGACTGAACGACCGCACCATCGAGGGCGATTTCCAGTGGTCCGATGGGAATCCCGTGGTAAGTGGTTCGGCGCTCTCCTTGTGTGCAGGGCACGGGGTGCTCACGACTCTGGAAACGGGTCGGGAGTACCAGGGGGTGAGGGCCAACCAAACCCAGAAGAGTCGTTGAGTCGACTTGGATAGAGGCAGCCGTGTTCGTCTGCGCTAACGTATCCGGCAGAAATAAAAGAAAAATAAAATAAAATAAAGAAGACAAAAAAACTAAAGAAGAGAGGGTGGCACAACATGTCTTCTCTCCTTTATTTTTAATTTTTCTTGGGTCTTCTTTATTTTTTTGATTTTGTTTTTGCCTGATACGTTCCATTGACTGGCTCTGCTCATGCCCAGATATGGCCAGAGTCTTATCGGTGTTCCTACGTGGCTGGTGCGAAGTGCCACGGCACTTCTGCTCATGCGTTTGCCCACATCGTGGCACCTCGTCCATTAGCCAGTCAAGCAAACCCTGGCCAGCTTCCTCCACCCCCAGCAAAGGGGGAGAAAGTTTCCAGCTTTCACCCCTGGCCCCTCTGCCAGCTCACCCTTCCCGCCCTCTCTCTCCTCTCCTCTCCGCTTTTCCCTTGGGGCAGCTGTACGAGAACTGGCATCCGGGTCAGCCGGACAGCTATTTCCTGTCTGGAGAAAACTGCGTGGTGATTGTCTGGCATGACGAAGGGAAGTGGAGTGACGTCCCCTGCAACTACCACCTCTCCTACACCTGCAAAATGGGGCTGGGTAAGCGCAGGGGGAAGCGGGGGGGGGCCTTGCTTGCAGTATTTCCCCCCCTTTTTTTTGCTTTAAAAAAAGCAGAAAATAATCCTTGTCCACCTTTGTTATCACAAACCGGTCCTATACCTGGTGTGTCAACACGCCACACCGTTCCCGTGGTTTGATCCTGGTCCGGCTGCTGCGGGCCCAATCCTTACGTACGATGCTAACAAATGGGAACAAGTTCAGAGGAAGGTGACCAGGATGAGGATCAGGGGGGCTGGAAACCAAGCCTTAGGAGGAAAGGCTGAAAGAAATGGGCAGGTTTAGCCTTGAGAAAAGGAGGCTGAGGGGTGATAGGAGAGCACTCCTCAAATATTTGAAAGGTTGTCATGCAGAGGAGGGGCAGGATCTGTTCTCGATCATCCCAAAGTGCAGGACACACAACAAGGGGCTCAAGTTACAGGAAGCCAGGTTTCAGTTGAATATCAGGAAAAACTTCCTAACTGTTAGAGCAGTACAACAATGGAACCCGTTACTTCGAGATGTGGGTGTGTGTTCCAATACTGGAGGCATTCAAGAAAAACTTGGATAATCACCTGGCAGATATGCTTTGATTGTATTCCTGCATTGAGTGAGAGGGAGGGTTGGACTTGATGGCCTTGTAGGCCCCTTCCAATTTCACTTTTCTACGATTCTGTATATCTTGAGAGTTGTACCCTGTTTTCCCAAAAATAAGACCTAATCTGAAAAGAAGCCCTAGTATGATTTTTCAGGATGTTCGTCATATAAGCCCTACCCCTAAAATAAGCCCTAGTGAAGTTAAACCCCGCTCTCCACCATTGTGCATCAACCGTAAGTAGATGACATGACTGCAAAATAAAATATCCCCTGAAAATAAGTCCTAATGCATTTTTTTTGAGCAAAAATTAATATAAGGCCCTGGCTTATTTTCGTGGAAACACAGTACTTTGCTGAGGAGAGATTTAGAATTCACTGCCATCATTCATGGCTGCGTGCTGGAGCTCTCTAGCAGAAGATCTCACCATCATCCTCATCATCCTCTTAGAACTGCTGAGCTGGAAGGGACCCTATAGAGAAGCAAGTCCTGTCCCTGTCAGGCGGGCCCAGTAGGGGAATCGAACTCCCAGCCTCCGGGTCCACAGCTCCAGAACCCGAAACCACCAGTTCTATATCTGAAGCTTCTCCCCAAATTAATCCACAGCTCAGCTGAAAGCAAGAGGTTTTCATGGGACCAGTTTCAAGTCAGAGGAAGCGCTGCTGTGCAAAGCCCTTGACCCTCCTCGGAACAAAAAGAAGCTAAAAATAAATCCAGCTTTTTGCAGCTAATAAATGTTATGGAAAAAACCAAGGGAAGTGAGGGAGACGCCCTTCACCCCATGTGCCAAGATGCTGGCAAATTGGTGCCCAAGCTGATTCTTTTAAGGGAAGCAAATCCTCTTGCCTGGGTAAGGGTTCAGTTTCCTGGCTAGACAGGACCTCCTCAAGGGGCCCTATCCTGGCTTCTGAGCCTGAGTTGCACCTGTTGGATTCCCACTCTCTCTCCAGTTTCTTGCGGCTTGCCCCCAGAGGTGGACCATGCCCAGATGTTTGGCAGACCAAAGCAGCGCTACGAAATCAATTCGGTCATCCGATACCGGTGCCTGGACGGATTCCTTCTGCGTCACTCGCCCGTCCTCCGCTGTCAGGAGACTGGCCGGTGGGAACAGCCTCAGTTCACCTGCACTCCAAGTGAGTCTCTGCCTTGTGTTGCCTCCTGACCACCGAGAAACCCCAAAACAGCTTCCTCGTTTCTTAAAACAAGGTTAGGACGAGCCGAGATGGGAGCTGATCCTTCTGAGCCCTTAAGCGATTCCCTCTTCCGAGAGCGAGCTGCACAGAAGCTCTGCCTAGTTAGCAGAGCAAGAGCTTGGCAGACAGTTGGTTCTGCAATCAGCTTTCAGGTCTTAACAACAGAGTTCCTGGGGGAGTAATTTCTTTTCAGACATGAAGGACATTCCGAACCACATCTCTCCAACACCAAAGTAATTTGAGATCTAGTGACCTGTGGTTTGTGATGTGCAGTTTAGCCCTCGTGTTGACGGCAGGTCTGGGGGTGCCTTGCTCCACCCTGGTCCTCGAGGAACCTGTGACCATCCTCCCCCTGATTTTAAAGAAACATTTGGATAGGTTAAATGATGGGAAATTAAGGCTGCACTGAAGCAGGGTACGGGGAGCGTGCTGTGGCTCAGCAGAGCAGACGGTAGGCATGTGGGTGTTTTTTCCTTGAGGGTGTTCGGCTGACGGCTGTCCTAAGTATGGTTTGAGCTGTGTGCTTCCTCTTTCCATTTCCTTTTGCCCCACCCCACCCCACCTCCATCCTCCACCCCTTCCAAAAGAGACAGGACAACCCGAGGACTGAAGACGTGGGCCGAGACTCTCCCTCGTCACAACGGCAGCAGGAGCAATTTTGTATAAATCAGCACGGAAAACCAACAGGAAACAACAATTGGTGCCTTTCTCTTCCCTGTCCTTCTTTATTATTATTATTGTTATTTTTATTGTTATTTTTATTATGTGTATATGCATATATATAAAGAAATTCTAATGACTAAGTATTTCTGTTAAAAGCACTCCTTAATGACAAGATAAATATACAACTTTTTACTTTACACAAAGAGCATACCTTTTTTCACCCCAAAAATCGTGGCACTGGTAGGATCGGAATCGATCCAGGCGGAGTATTTTTATATCTTTGGACTCTTCTGCTTGTTCTTTGCCCTGAGACTTCTTGAGACAGAAAGAGAAGGAGAGCAAAAGAGAGCTTAGAGTTGAAAAGTAACTTTAGTTACCCATGACTTTTTGGTATGATGTGGATGTAGCAAAGTTGCTCACTGGAAGGAAAAGACGATAATGCTTGGAGAGGCTGAAGGCAGCTAGAAAAGAGGAAGACCCAATACAAGATGGATAGACTCCCGAAATTGCCATTTGCAAGAGCTGAGCAGGGCTGTTGAGGACGGGACCTTTTGGAGGTGGCTCCTTCATAGGGTTGACATAAGTCACAGGCAACTAGATGAATGGGACAGTGCAAAATGAAACAAGAGATAGTGCTGGAAGATGAGACTCTCAGGGTGGGGAAAGGTAAGGGGTATTTTGGAGATGGCTCCTTCACAGGGTTGCCATAAGCCAGAGGGGACTTGATGGCACAGAACAACATCGTATTTACATTGCTGACAGAAATAAGAAGCAGTCATAAAGTTACTTTATTGACATAGCAAATAATGTTTCCTAGTTACTTCCCAGTGTTACCTTTTAAGGGCCTTGTAAGACATTCCATTTGAATTGTGGTGCTGGAGGAGGCTCTTGAGAGTCCCCTGGACTGCAAGGAGAATGAGCCTATCCATTTTGAAGGAAATCACCCCTGAGTGCTCCCTGGAAGGGCAGATCCTGAAGCTGAAGGTCCAGTACTTTGGCCATCTCATGAGAAGATTCCCTGGAAAAGACCCTGATGTTGGGAAAGTGTGAAAGCAAGAGGAGAAGGGGATGACAGAGGATGAGATGGTTGGACAGTGTCATCGAAGCGGCCAACATGAATTTGACCCAACTCTGGGAGGCAGCGGAAGACAGGAGGGCCTGGCATGCTCTTGTCCATGGGGTCAGGAAGAGTCGGACAGGACTTAACGACTAAACAACAAAGACATTTCAAGAGGCATACTGACCAATGTCTTTCAAATGCTAAGCCCTCTACATCTCAGTCTTTATTTCTCTCCCCCCCAAAGAACAAGAAGTTGAGCAGCCAAGCAAATATTTTTGGACAGGGCATGAATTACCTTCAGCAGAGCAGATGTGCAAATCTCAAAGAGGGATGATCTGGGCCCCTTGGGGGGAGAGTTCCCTTCCAGGCCCCCCATGCACGAGGCTGGCCTCCTTTCCACCAGCTCTTTGATAACCCAACCTCCTGCCCCCTCCTTGAACCAGGGAGTCTTTGGGTGTCTGCTTTTGGGGCTGCAACACCACATGTGCAAATCTCAAAGAGGGATGATCTGGGCCCCTTGGGGGGAGAGTTCCCTTCCAGGCCCCCCATGCACGAGGCTGGCCTCCTTTCCACCAGCTCTTTGATAACCCAACCTCCTGCCCCCTCCTTGAACCAGGGAGTCTTTGAAAGAGTATTAGGCCTGGTCACATTTAGTACAGGCTTCTATTTACTGTTAATTTGTTTTCATTTTTACTCAGATAACCATATCATCTGTTCTTAACTCAGAGTATTTGTCATACTTAAAGGGTTTTAGTTCCTGTCCCAATACCTAGATCTGTGCAATGCTGTTAGCATTGTAAGTCTGTGAGGGAAAGAGCCTGGCAGTGGCCTATCAAAGCCATTTCTGACTCACTTCGATTCATGCAAGAAGGGAAAGCACTGTAAATGTACATTGACATGAAATACTCAGTAGAAACAGCACTTACCCACTTCACAGTTTTTGCCCATGAATTCTTCAGGACAAATGCAATGGTAGGAACATTGACTGCATTCAGTAAAACATGTACCTCCATTTCTGCAAGGCTGACTTCTGCAATTATCTGAAAAATACATAGAACAAATAATTCTGTCCTTCGTGATCAAATTCCAACAGTGCCTTTTGATAATGACCCGATGACCAAGACTACATTTCCATGAGACCTGCTGGAGGTTAACAGAATTCTGGACATAGATTAGAGGCTTTTCTCTTTCTTGAGAATGTTAGTGCAGTTGAAGTATCTGGATTTGGATATGAGATTCAGGATCTTCTAAGACTTATACTGAAGAACTGGAAAGGTTCAGAAACACGAGCTTGGTTTAAAAATTCCCCAGATTATTCCCCTTCACTGACTTAGATCAAGAACTCTTTCCCGCCACAGGGCCCCCGGGAATTGATGATGGGGTAGTGCACCGTGCCTTCCATGACCCAGCCAGCGTTGCACCAGTCCAGGCCTTCTGTCCATGCTGGGAAGAAGAGAGGAGAGCATTTCTAGCTGCCAGGAAGGAAGTGGGAAGATGCAACACCCTTTCATCCGCCTCCCCTCCCCTCCCCTCCCCTCGGGGGTCGCCCTCTTCTCCAGCGCCTGAGGCCTAAATCCAACTGGATGAAATCAGCGGGGAGACAACTCCCGTACCTAGTCAGGGGGATTGGACTCAATGAGCCTTGGGAGCCCCTTCCAATTTCTACAAGGGGTTAATTCGGTGGGTCCCCCTCGACCTGGAAAAACCTCTGGACTGAAGCTGGAACGAAGAGCCTGAGAGAGAGAGAAATCAATCCAGAGGAGCCTTTTCCCCCTTCCTGTTCTCTCTCTCTCTCTCTTTGTGTGTCTCTACATCAAGGCAAGGCCCCTTGGCAAGGAGGCCAGCCCTGCCAGGGATGGGGTGGGGGTGTGGGGGGTGGAGAGCAGAGAGAGGCCCACCAAGGAACGCTCACCTTGGTACAGTTGCCTGTAAGTAGCCAGCTGAGCATCCTGGTCTCGGCAAGCCTTCTGGGCATCGAAATAAGTGAATTTGTAGCGCCCCTTGCTGGTCTGGTAGGGGAAGACGATGCCTGGAGGAAAAGGAGGGATGGGAAAAGGGGAGGGGGGCATGGTGGATTCACGAAATGGCCAAGGTCCAAAGGGCACTCAGGGGCCAGGCGGTCCTGGTGATCTTTCTTGGATCAGCTTGGACCAACCCACCCCCTTACCGTCCAGCTGCAGGACCAAGGAGATGCTCTCGTCCTCCAGGCCGTCGACCAGCTGGCAGCGGTAGCGCCCCTCGTCCTCCAGGGCCACGTCGGAGATGGTGAGGGAGGCGTCGTAGCGGTGGCTGCGCCTCAGCCGGACCCGGCTGCCCAGGGGGCCGTAGGTTTTGTGGTGGGCACCGTTGGTGATGAGGAGGACCACCTCCATGTGCTCAGCCGGCACCACCTTGCTCCACCGGACCTTGTAGTTGGCCGGGAGGACCCGCAGCATGCAGGGCAGGGTGGCCGTGGCGCCCCGTTGGGTCAGCACCGTCTGGCTCGTGGGCTCTAGGAGGTACCGGAGGGGCTCCGGCGTGGCTGCGGTGGGAAGGAGCAGAGACCACGTCAGTGAGGGAGGCTGCAGGTGGGGGTGGTGGCTCGTGGCTCCCACTGGGTGGCCTCCTATCTAAGCCCAAACTCAGTCTGATCCTACCAAGCATCCACAATTCAACGTGCTGTTTTCAGTACTCTTCCCCTGCCATTTAGCCACAAGATCTAAGCAGGATATTTGTATGAGGTCAAAATGGTCACATTTTATAATGTTATCATTTACATTAAAGGAAGGATTTCTTACCGGGAGCTAAGAATTTCTTAGACTGAGAGAGGGATTAGCAAAGAAGAACTAATGCAGATGAATAAAGACCAAGAAACTTTAAAATACACAGAGCTGGAAGGCTTCAGTCCAGTGACTCCCAGACTTGGGTGACCCAGATGCTCTTGGACTACAACTCCCAGAAGGCTTCACCATGAGCTCTGCTGGCCAGGATTCCTGGGAGTTGTAGTCCTCCTCCCTCTGGGTCACCCAAGGTTGGGAACAACTGCTTTAGTCCCAGAATGAGGACGGAAAACTATGGATCGCTGCAGCCAATCCATCATCCTCTGCTTGAACTTCTCTCTTCTCAGGCAAAGCTCTGTATTGTGTGTGTGCGTGTGAAGATTCCTTACTCACTCGGAGTCCCAGTCGGCCTTTGGTAGATGGTCAGGGTCCCAGGAAGAGCAGAGAAACACATCAAAGCCAGGAAGAGGAGTGGGCGCATCTTTCAACGTCCACGGAGAATCCGACCTGCAAAAAAGCAGAGAAGCGCCTTTCAGTCGGGGCTGACGGGGGGGGGGCTTCACCGGACAGACCCCAGCAGGGCAGGGACCAAAGGGGCTTCTCCCTGGGACCCCTTCGAGGGAAGGCCTGATCTGGACTCCACAAAAGTCCGGCCATCCAAGCTTGTGAGCCTCAGGCAGGGTCAGAAGGACACATGGGCTTTTTAAAAAAAGAAAGAAAGAAATAGGTGCTTTGCGTGGATGACCTCGTGGACACATTCCCCACCAAGGCCTCCCGCTAGAAGCCAAGCACCTCCTGCAAGGAAAAAGGAAAAGGTCTGCAAATTCTTTTGTGGTTGATGGTTCTGCTGTGGGGTGTGCGTGCGTGTGTGTGTGTGTGTCCCTCTGCCTGCAAAGGCCATCCGGTTTGATAGGTCTCCCATCCAGAAGAACACAGAGGCGCTGTGGGGGGTCCTCTGGCTTCCCGGCTGCTGAACCGTACATCAAAGCCCCCTGTAAATGCATGGAATGGAGCCTCCAGCAGGCTGAGGGGTCTATCTTGCTCAGCATTTTGTCCCCCAAGAGCTAGATGTCTTCAGGAAGGCTCCGGGAAGAGAGTGGAGGCGTAAAAGGTGCCTCAAAGGTGCAGAAGGGGGGGGCAGGGGATTCAATTGGCTTTCCAGGGACAAGAAGGTCAGGTTCACCCCTGCGTTTCTCTCTCTCTCTCTCTCTCTGCCTTGCCTGCCAGTGGCTGGACCTGCTGCGTTTTCTTTTCTTTCACTTTTCCTCTAAAAACCTTTGGGAAAAATTTTGTCCTGGAAGCCCAGTTTGGAAAATGTGCTTAGGGGGCTGGATCCCCTCAGCAAATCCTGACCAGAGTAGATTTACTGAATCAATGGGATTGCGGTCGGCTCTCCCTCCAGCAATGGGTTCCATAGACTTCCACAGATTGGGACAAACAAGTGAAGCCCTTGGACTACAAATCCCATAAACCCAACCCCCCCGGACACCCCCATGGCCATCACCAATACCTTCTTGTCTTTTTTTCCCCAAAATTATTCTCAGATTCTGAAAGCAACTTGCGTGCGTTCTTCTGGGAACACGGGATCCGTTTTGCACAATTCCATTCCCCTGATTTGTGTCTTTTGTTCTTTTTTTGTGGACAATTGGAAAACATACATTTGGGAGAAAAATTAATGGAAAACTAGCCCCATGAACCGAAAGGCCAGAAACAGACATTATAAATAAACCCATAATTAGACAAGGAAAGTCCTTAGGGGCTGATCATGTGGGAGGGTTAAAGAAGTTGTTTCTGTCATCTCCTGAAATTGGCAAATGGACTTACTTCGTTTGGTGGACAGGTAAACACAGGCTTCATTTGCCCGGTTCCCCTGATCTGCTGGAATCACGTCTCTTCAACACTAACCTGGTTTGAGCTGCAAGGATCCCACGCTCTCGAACATCTCTTTCCGCCCTCGAGAGAACCGGAGATCAACATGACAGGGTGAAGAGAGGTGTCCACCCTTGTTACCATACCTGTCCACGCAGACGGCTCAATTTTCCCGCAGCTCTGGTGAGACGGCAGCAGGAAGCGTTGGGAGTCACCAAGCTGGTAGCTTCTCCTCTGAGAGTCTGAACCCAAAGAGCGAACACGTCTCCAGGGGGTGAGGAGAGCCTGCCGTGGGCCCGAAGGCAGCTCGGTGGCACGTTTTCCCCACAGTGCAGGTGAAAAAGAAGAACAAAAGGTCACCTCTATCAAGATAAATTCCCCGGACAAGGCTCATGGCTGTTCCCCTACCGATGCTGAGGAGACATCATGGGGAAAAAATCTTTGTGGTGGTTAAACTGGAGAGGTAGTGGGACACCCTCGATGGCCAGGGTGGACACCCAGCTTTCTAGGCTGACCTATTATTTCCCCCCCATCCTCAGATGGAAAAGGCACCTCCTGATTTCCTCGTTCTTGCTTCTCTGTGTAAGGTCCCCCACCAACAGCTTGCACATTTTCCCCCTTTTGTTTTCCACGCCCCGAGAATACAATAAAAGGAAGAAAAAGGAAGGAAGAAACAGCTTTCCATTGTCCGCCACGGCAAACAAGCAGCCCTTTCTTCCAAGGGAATTCGGACAAAATGTCAACACGAGGCTGGCGCCCAGCTCCTGGTACCTTCCGTCGGCCCCTCCCCAAGGGGAACATCGGGGTAAACAAAGCAAGGTCCCTTGGGGGGGGGGTGCTCAGAGCCCCAGAGAGCTTCCCAGAGGCCCCCAGGCAGGGACTGCCTTTCCTGAACCCCCCCAGGGCCTGAAGCGCTCTGCCTGGTCCAGATGGAGAAGCGAGCGCTCCCACAAAGCATGGCTCGTTCTGGTGGGAATCCAAGGGGTTGCCCCCCAAAATAGACACTCTTTGTCTCAGAAGCTTATGATTCCTGAATGCTTTGGTTCCCCCCC